ACCAATCTAGGCGGCTTACAACATTTTGCCCCCTCTGCCTCCCCACGGCCAGGAAAAGGGGCTGTGGGGTTCTCCCAGCCCTCCCTACCTCCCTGCGCCCCCTCCCCAGCCGTCTCTCCTGGACCAATCCTGGCAACCTTTCCCCTCCCCCTCAAGGGAAGCCCCCCACTCTTGCCTAAAAGACCCACGAAGGGATCAAGGCTTGCAGATGGAAAGGGTGGGGAGGGGGGGAGAGAGGAGGGGAGAGAAAGCATGTGGAGGGTTAAGGACCATGGACAGGGATGGAGGGAAGGCATCAGGACCGAATTCCCCCAAAGGGCTGAGAGGTTGTGGGGGGGGGCTGTTAGGGGACTGGCGAGGTGGGAGATGGGAGAGGAAGGGGAAAATATTGATGAGAGTGGGAGCCTACTTTTCCCAGGAATTTCTTTGGGATGGTTTTTGTTGCTGCCTCCTGTACAGTGTTACAAGCCTCCATCCGTAGTTCTTCAGGCACTCTGTCCACCAAATCTAGTTCCTTAAATCTGCTCTTCACTTCCGCTGTGTATTCATAAGGGATTTGGTATAGATTATACCTGACTAGTCCAGTGGTTTTTTTCTACTTTCTTCAGTTTAATCTTGAGTTTTGCTATAAGAAGCTGATGATCAGAGCCACAATCAGCTCCAGGTCTTGTTTTTGCTGACTGTATAGAGCTTCTCCATCTTTGGCTGCAGAGAACATAATCAATCTGATTTCGGTATTGCTCATCTGGTGATGTCTGTGTGTAGAGTCACCTCTTATGTTGTTGGAAAAGAGTGTTCGTGATGAGAGTGCTTTTCTCTTGACAAAACTCTATTAGCCTTTGCCCTGCTTCGTTCTGAATTCCAAGGCCAAACTTTCCTGTTGTTCCTTTTATCTCTTGACTCCCTACCTTAGCATTCCAATCCTCTAGAATGAGAAGAACATCTTTCTTTGGTGTCAGTTCTAGAAGGCGTTGTAAGTCTTCATAGAATTAGTCAATTTCAGCTTCTTCAGCATCGGTGGTTGGTGCATAAACTTGGATGACTGTGATGTTGAAAGGTCTGCCTTGGATTCATATTGAAATCATCCTATCATTTTTGAGATTATATCCCAGTACAGCTGGGATAATAGGGTATTCCAGTCCAATTCATTTCAGTACCTTCAGAATGTTTAT